AGTTTAATGCATTTGTTTCTATAAAAAATAACTTAAAAAAATTAATATAATATAAGATTGGTTTAGAAATAAATGATGTCTTTAAGACTTCAAAAGATATTTTGACGTCTTTGTTCTACTCAAGTTTGTCAATATAAGTCAAATGTATAAGAAGAGCCGCAATTTGAGATTTTTTTTTATAAAGATTTGTTAATAATTGGCAAATTCCAAAAAAAAACATTATACATTTCTAATTTTTTTTGACATCTTTAAATCTGTAATAGTTTGAACTCTCTTAAGATCTATCACAAGGCTATTGTTTGAAATGATGTATCATAAAAAGTTAATTTGAGCAATGTGAAATATACACTTTTTTATTTTGGTTTATAATCCTATATTTTTAGATTTTTTTAATATATAAAAAATAAGATATTCATACTATTCTATATTTTTAGAATAGATTAAAATAATGCCTAAATAACAAACAATAAAGTCATCATAAAATTTACAATAGACATCATTCATTAAATGTTAAAAAGTAGTTGATACATTTGTGAGTTCAAAAGATATGATATTATATTCCAAATGCCCACACCTAATTTAAAATATATTTTTTCATTCATTTTCTTTTTTGAAGCATATCAAGTTGTATGCTCTTCATAGATCTATTTTCATATAGAGCTTTGTTTTATTCAATTGATTGAAAAGTCTTAATATTAAAGATAAAGGATACTTATTCTTAATGGTGATTTTATTGAGTCTTCGTTAGTCCACACACATCTACAAAGATCCATCTTTTTTCTTTACAAATTAGATAAGAGTCCATGCTTGAGATTTAAAATGGCATGTAAAATTCTTAGCCAAATTCTTGTTAATATACTAATAAGTGCAACCAATTCATTTTTTGATAAGCTATAGATTGGTCTAAATGGTGGTTGAATTCCTTTTTGAAGATCAATAGAATGATCATAGGAAGAAAGAAGATTATGGCTAAAAAAGTATTGCCTATAGTAATTGGATTAGAAGAAGATTTAATGACATTAAATATTATTAAGCTATTATAATCTTTATTTGCTACATCTAAAGAAAATAGTTTATAGATTATATTTTTAAAGCACAACAAATGACCATCTATAACTTCTATATGTATATATTTATTTTTCTTAATTGAAGATATTTTTATTTTTTAATAAAGGCTTTGTTTATAAAAAAAATTGAATCTTTTGAATTTTTCAAAAAAAAGATTTTTGACTTTTTGGTTTTAAAAAAACTTCTATCGTAAAACAAGGTGAAGAATCTAAGAAAAGAATTGAACCTTTACTACGCAAGATTTTAGCCACATGGTCCTTTATTGTAGTTGAAGAAACTTGTTTTCTAATACATCCTCTTTTATTACAACCATGCTCCTCATTTTTTATTATGTTGCTTCTTTGGACAATATTAAGTAGTATACTTAGATTTTCCACAATATAAGTACAATCTTTCTTGACAACATTAAATCTATTTTTTACTCAATAAGAAGTTTAAAACGCATCATATTAATTTACATAGATTTTCACCTTGATGAATAAGCTTCTATAAATTTAGAATTTATCATCATAACTTGACTTGTACTTCTTTAATCAAACCTTTGTTCTTCGTATCTTTTAAAGAGTCAATTAGTTCATGTAATGGCTTAAGCAATAAATTACTTTACTAAGTCCATTCTTGGTATTGTCAACATTAAATCTTTGACATTGTCTTTCAATCCATATCAAAATTGATTAATAAGGGCTTTGTCATTCCAAACTACATTACAAGCAAGATTTTAGAATTTTGTAGCATATATGGTGACTAAATGTGATCTTTTTCAAAAAGATAGAAATTTGGACTTAGCTATTCTTTTTTAATCACTTTCAAATGTAGCCATAAATACTTCTAAGAATGAATTTAGATCATAAAAGAATTATGAATCTTTTTCTATCGAAGATGTAAAATAAGAAATACACTCCCAAATATAAGTATATTTATAAATCCAACTTGAGTAAATTTATCAAGATATTAAAAAAAGATACAATTTTAGAAAGAAATTCACTTGTTATAAAAATCTTCAAAACTTTGAACTTGTTTTGTCAAACTTCTCTAGCATACTTATCCTTGTTGCCCTCATACTTGTAAAAATAAGGGGTCTTGCATATAATTATAAATTTGATTTACTTGCCTCTTTCATTACACAACTTACTAGTGTAGGATCTAAACCTCATTTTTGACTTCTTTCATAAGTATAGAAATAGTACCTCTATGATTCATAATAGAAATAAGTGATATTTTCATCAAGAGTGTTTATAAGCTTATGAAAATCTACAATAGTTGCAAATCTATTCTCACTTCCACTAAGAGTAGCATCTATAATTTTTTTCTTCTATAAAAAATTCAAATAAACTCATAAGTCAAATTAAAGGAAGATAATTAGTAATTTTTAATATCAAATGAAAATTTCTACAAATAAAAATAGTCTATTTTTTTTAAAAAAATAATCAATGTTTGAAAAAGTAAAAATTAGTTTAAACGTGGATAGTTTGCAACCTTCAAAACACAACAATAGAAGTAGAATAATCCACTCAATTTTAAAACAAAACAAGAACATCAAGTTAGCATTCTTGTTACATTGTTAAAGATATAAATTTCAAAAAACTAAATGATCAATAAATTTATGTATCACTCAAATAGACTAGAAAATCACTCAAAGATAATATAGTATTAAACTAGAATGGCTATTGCCAAAGACAAGAAGATTAAAAAGTCTTCAAATAAGACTAAGTACTAGAAAGGCATTGAAAAGAATGAATATGGATTTATTCTTATCTTCATATATATTATTTAATTAAGAACTATGTAGCGACATTCTATAGGACCTCTATCATGTGTCTAATTTACAAAATATATATCTTAATTTACAAGACACATGTCTTAATTTGTAAGGAAGGTTGCTTATATGTATACCACATCGTTAACTTATAACACAAGCTATCTACATGTACAACACATGGTTAACATGTTGGTCAAGTTTCCAATCCATCAATTAATTATGAACATGTATAAAGTCAAATACATATTTATGAAGCTTTTATAAAGCTTCACTATATAATAATATCAAATATACCTACATTTATCTTCTACCTAGCACTTCTTATCTAAATAAATATGTATGTCCATGAAAACTATATATATGAAGTACATGAAATTTATTCTTATCAAAAGTAAAATAAAATTGTATTGAAATAAGTATTAAAATTAATACAAATCAAATATAAAAGTCATTGTATTAATGATATAATTAATACTATCAATTATCAAGATAAAAAGAATTATATAGAAATATATTAAAATAAATAAATTTAATAATATCTTATAAAAAAACTTTTCAAAAGCTTCATAGATACAAATTTGACTTTATTAATTTCTATACATAATTGATAGGTTGAAAACTTGGCCATATATTACACACATTGGCCAATTATGGTATACACATAGAAAATATTATTACATATATCACATAAATATTATGTATTATATAATTATTTGTCATGTGATACATACATAGAAAATATTATTACATATATCACATAATTATTATATATTATACAATTATTTGTCATGTGGTACGCACATAGAAAAATCGTCTTACAAATTATAAATACGTTTCATAAATTAGATATATATTAGAGGTCTTATAGAATATTTTCATGTAGCCTCTAGTTAGGTAGTATATATAAAGGTAAGAATAAAGCCTTCTTCATTCTTGTCAAGACCTTTCTTGTTTTTAGTCTTGTTTCAAAACTCTCTAGTCTTCTTGATTTTGGCAATAGCCATTTTGGTCTTCATATTATGCTACTTTTAAGAAAATATCTATTCTTTTTAGTGCCACAAGAATATATTGGTTCTTTGGTTGCTTGTGACTTATGTCTTTGGCATTTTATTAACATCACAATAAAGTTTTTAAAAGTTAATATATATAATTTTTTAAGTTTTTTTGGCTACACTACGAAATCAAGCTATTGATGAATATTTTATCTCATATCAATATTTATTTTATATATATATATATATATATATATATATATATATATATATATATATATATATTTATTTATTTATATATATATATTTATTTATTTATTTATATATATATATATTTATTTATATATTTTTTAATCAAATTTAATTAATATAATTTTTATTATGATATAAAAGCTAAAATATAATATTTAATTAGTTTTCATAATTTGATAGTAAGAATCTTATTTTTTATTTTTGTAAAAAATTTCAATCATCCAAAAATAATATTAGGTCTTTCAATTTTAAATCTAGTTTATCACTTGAATACATAGTTCATAATTTCTCAAGATATCAATTACTAATTTTTAATCATTTTTTATGATTTTTGACATAAGAACTAAGTTATGATAATTATATTTTTTTATAATTTTAATTCTTCTAATTAAAATTTTGATACTAAAATTATATATATATATATATAATTTATATATTATAAATAATTTTTTTTATTTATATATTATAAATATATATATAAAGAAATATATATATATTATATTTTTATATTTTTATATTTATATGTAATTTTTTTAAACAAAAATAAATAAATATAGATGTATTTATATATATATACATACATGTATTTTTTAATATGTTTTTTTAAATATAAAATATATTATTTGTATATATTTTATAAATATTTTATAATATATTTTCAAATTTATTTTTATAATAATTTATAAAAATAATTTATAAAATATTTTTAAAAAAATATATATTTTAAAGTGTACTTAAAATTTTCATATGTTTTAATGACATGCATTGTCACTTTATAGTACCTAATGTTGAAAGAATATTTTATTTTATACTCCAAATATTCTCCTATTAATTTTACATGTGTTAAAACTACTTATTTTTGGTGCAGTTATTTTGTATTCTTAATGAAATCAATAGTGAAGACTAAAAATATTCAATTCACTCTGATCTTATTTGAGTGTTTGAGCTTAAACGCATCTTTAAAAATATGTTCCATAATTGGAAATAACTCCACAAGCTTTAGCATAAAAACGGGTCTTCGACATTGCACAGTTCTTCACATTCAACAATTAAGACCACTTGATACTCTCATTCATTTCTTTCAACGTAGATATATTTTGTATGGTGCTGTTATGTCTCTACATTACCAACCTATCTTTCTCCAACACTGTAATCATTTTTCTTGGAAGATTCTCATTTTGCGTAAATTTGTACTACTATTTATTACAAATGTGCATTAACCTACTACTGGACGGCCTCAAACAACCACTCACACAGCCAAAACATGCAATTCAAATGCTCACATGCAACTTAGCAATACCGAAAGGATCTTGCTCAGATGTGTTGTTAAGCCGCGTTGTTTCCCCATCGTCATTCTGGAGACAAATTTAGCAGCCAAGGGTTCTGCAATCACATCCCTAGAACTATTCAAAAGGGGATACAATATTCCATGGGCACTTGAGAATTGGAACGCATCAGTCTGTGGATCACCACTTTCCACCATGTTTGCTTCCATGTCATTTTTCCCACCTTCATCAACGATGTAGAGGGGGTTTGACGAGCTGGACAGTGAGCTGTTGAGTGCCATCACCACCTCCCTCTGTAATTGACCACTTCGTGCACTTACAGCGTTAGGACACAAGGACACACCTCCCCATGATCTGCAGACATGAGGGTACCTGGGTGTAGTGCAAGCAAACAGGACGACTCACACCATGTACTACTTGCGCATCCACTCAAGCTGCATTGAAAGCTTCAGTGACAACATTCACCTCTGCACGAGCATCATGTTGTGCGTCACACCTGCATGAACATCCAAAGTGTGTTATTTCTTCAGTGTCGATAAAATTCCAAGCTTGGACCCCGTACCTGAGGTTGAATACAGTTCCTCTGGTTATGTTTGAGAAATAGAGAATGAGCAACCGAGATGAACATTTGTTCTCGTTTGTAGACGGCTCATCAGTAGGGTGCGGGAACTCGATTAATTATTTGTGAGAACGTTGTTGCCTCATCACAGGGTAATATATTTTAATACACCTCCATAATAGAGAAACTGCGGATGGTGTTCAGACTGGTGTTAATGTCTTCTCCGGGATTAGCCCGGGCAACAAGCAACTTTCCTATGACCAATTCGAACTTCCCTCTTCGTGCTTTCATTCTTCTGTCCTTAGTTCCCACTGTGTTTAGCTGCATTTTGTGTAGAGAATTGGAAGAAAAGTATCCGAGTTATATTTTCGCCCCTTTTTGAATGAGGGTGGCTTTTGCCAGCACTTTTCCTTTCCCGATTTCATTTTCCAAATTTCAACAGGATCTTTTCGTCTGAAAAATTAGAAGAATGCACAGCATTTCCCTCAGCATTCGCTTCTACGGGTTGGTTGCCAGTTCCATCTCAGTAGAATCTTGAATGAAGGTGGGACATTTCAGGTCGTCTTTCATCATTCCTCATGCGCCGTTTTTAAATGATGCGAGTTATTTCTCATGCCGGCTTATTAGCACGACTTGTTTTGGTAATCCTCATGGGAAATTAGAGATTCCAACGAGTATTGGACTCGCAATCGTGGACCCGTACAACACTTACCATCGATTGAAGCCAATATCCAAGATTACGATTGTTCAAAAACAATTTTCTTCGTGTTGGTGAGCGCTTGGTTTGCGAGTAATAATATAGTCGACCGGTTGCACAGCAGAGAAACCTGTGAACATACCATAAACAGCATTTTTATCGGAACTTATGACAACCAAAGCACTTGCTTACAACAGAACACAGCATTTAACCATTGAAAAGAATTCGTACATCACAAGCCTACCAAAGTAGCAGTTTTATCAGAAAAGATAACAGTGAGTTGTAAAGTAGACCGACACTCAACTGTACGTCAGATGTGCACCAAGCACAAGATCAAACGTTGCATAGGATATAGATTTTACCGAACTTAAAGCCAGATATGTGAGAGCAGTATGCGAACATCCATGAATCATGTGGGACACACGAAGCAGTTGAATAGCTGCATCAACGCCCACCAACTGTATTACACAGTTTGCCAATACACACACACCTGCCACACATCAAAGGCATGCGAGTCAACACAGATGGCTCGTATGACATTCAGTTGCAATGGCAACGATGATCAAACACAAAGTGAAAGTTACCACCGCAATATTCCGCAAGATAGCGGACAAGAACAATTTTAAACACTAGCAGGATGCACAGCAACAGCAGACAGCAATAAACTAGCACGCATTGCAACGACAGGAAGGAGTCTTGAAGTGGATTATATCTTGGTGATAGTCCAAAGCAACTCCACACTGGAATACATAAACTCCAGCGGGACCAAGCATTAGATGTAAGAGGTCGAGTTGTGCTTGGAAACGATAAGACCCTTGCATGGTGCTCTCTTGTGAAAGATTGCAGAGAAATGTCTCGTTCTGAAATGAATTATCTGAGGGTGTACTGGAGAGGAGACTTAAGACTGAGCCAGCGTGCACCTTCACAGTTCATACAACTGAGGCAAAATACTTGTGTCCAACGCCAAGAATCAGTACATCTGCAAGACAACACACCAAGTCACAACCAACAAATGACACGTGTGCCGTGGAAACAATCGTTGGACACGGTGAGGATGCTGATGAGCAAAAATGGTGCTCAACTGTGTACAACTCGCTCTCTCATCCACTAGCAGGCATATTCATCTACTCGTCCTTACCAGCTCCGTAACCTCTGCTCATAGTTCAAGAGCATCTACCAAAGAATACGACAATGTCCTAATAAAGCAAAGCTGAAATCGCCTCCATGTATCAAAAAGACATTTAGATCCATAAGATTCGCCGCATCACGAAACCTTAATCTAGTGACAAATCCCAGCTCTAAGCTGCCCCTCCGTCTTCGCAGTGAAGCGAAGAAAAACAAATGTCCTAATTCGATTTACAAAAATATATTTATACAACAAAATGGACACCCTAGCAGTTGTTCATTCACAAATACATCCTCGTCATGCTGCGGTCGAAAGCCTCTAAGGCCTTCCTCGAAGTGCTTTGACAAAACATAGTAGGAATCTGCCTTGGGAGATCCTCCTCCGTTTGAAGGGCCAGATGACTGGTGCTTCGATGAGCAGATGCAGTGCCTCCATAACTCACTGAACCCTCGGCATTCCGCATGATATTTCTGCGGACCAATGGTGCAACATATCAGGACTAACTCCCAAAAGAATGCGCCTGATTGTCACAAACGAGCTAATTGACATTCATGCAAGAGAAGAGGTTGGTATGTACATACCTATCTAAAGAAAGCGTCAAAGCTCCTTCCTCTTCCACATCGCTTCCGAGAGTCATGTTCTTCAGCCTGCTACAACGAACTGGGGTAGACCTAGATGTAGATGGATGCATCCCGGGGAGAGTGCGATTCACTTCACAGAGGATGTCGGAATCCCTCGTGTGCGTCTTGCTTTTGGGAGAACTTGGCAAAGCAACGACGTCTCGCTGCTTCTGAGCGCGATGAAACCTGCAGCGAAACGAACCTGGATGATTCGTCGGAGAGCACATACATGTCATCTTCACTGGCGAGGATGATCTCTTCGACGCAAGGTCTTTTGGAAGACGACTGTCAGGAGATAGAGAGCGTCGTGACGACGGCCCATCGGATACGGTAGGACTCCTTCCTACATTGGTCTGAAGGGACCGTGGCCTCAGGACAGCCTTGAGAAGCTTAGAAGCATTCATGATGATATTTCAGAAACCTGCGTTGCATTTCCCTTTAAAAAATCAGGAAGACGGTATGGGAAAACCATGCGTAATGTCACAATAATACAAAAACAAACACTACAATCACACCACGGACAATGAAGACGACCAAAGCACACCACTGCAACAAAACAATTCACAGTCACGGTTGTTGACGTACCAAACAAGTGCACAGCTCCCAGAGGCGCAAACGGCGTCCTACTACAGAAACTCTATACTAATATTCTAAAGAAAAAAATCTGCTCCTCTTGTCCATCAAACGCTCAGTATTAACTTTTCACGACACGCTGAGCAAAATATGAAACGCATAATCGACAGGGTATTGACAATTAACTATGACATGCTCCACAAGCACAAAAATACTCGCAGATCTGATCAGAGGAAAAATGCCTCTCGTAATATTGGATCGTATATCGCTCGTGCGAGGGGAAAATTCACAAAAACTCCCGAGCAGCAAACTACACGCAGAAACCCCAAACAGAAGCACCGGTCTCGAAATGATTGTGGATCAAAAACTCTTCGGAAATGGAGCACAATAATCTACGTAACGTATTCTTCGAAAGATCACAAAAATGTAGCACGATAACTTGAACACTACCGCGATGTGGATCAAAAGATGAAGAAAAGCGGAGACGGAAAACACAACTGCAGAGCGCAGTCGGAGAGAGGGCAGACCACCAAAGCGACATGAAAGGCACCAGACCGGCTCTTTATGGTTCTCTGCAAACTCCTCGTTTGCATGAGTCGCCGGTTCTGTTACCGGGCGGGGCCCTCTGATCACCGGATGAACATTCATTCATTTCCTCCTCTGGACCTTTCGCCAATGTGTCAGTGGTTAGTTTCGATGAATTCATTCAATCGTCTGATCATATGATCACCATCCAACCTGATGAAAAAGTGTATGAGGAAGCATGAAGTGTCAGAAAAGACAACATTCAAATTATTACCATTTCATAAACTCGAATCCATTTTTAAAGATGTTTGAAATACACAAATTGGTTTGGTGTTTTCCAAGGATATCACTTGGTGGAAACTGTTTATTTAGAATATTCCTTTTACTTTCAAATGGTTTCAACATATAACGTCCATAAGAATAAATTGTTTCTACTTCAAAATAATATACTAAATGCGTTTATAAATTGTTTTTGCAACTGACGTTATTGATCTAATTAAATAAATTTGTGCAGATGATGATATACAAGGCATGGAGTTTGTGCGATGGAGTTTTTTGTCTGGTAACCATTCATTCCTTGCCAACTAGTACCTAGTTTATATTCTAAAAGCAAAATAAAACTTATTATGTTCGTATAAATAACACATTACTTCAATTTCATCATACAGGTTTATATGTTTATGCTAATTTTGTAACTAGTACAAATAGGATACAAACTCAAGTCATGCTTACTATAATCAACACTTTTAGTAGAAACGTTGCTTAATTTGTGGCTTTTGAGACTTTGTGTTACAATAAAGTCACCACGATCTTTTGATGTGTTCTAATATGATTAATTTTTTTTACGACGCCTTGATTTATTCTAGAAAAGATCAAGGTACATAAAAATAAAAATAAAAATGTTTAATTGTGTATATATAATTGCAAAAGTGTGGATACATTGCAAGTGCAATGACACATTAAATTGTATATTGACCAAAATATATGCATTACTGATTCCATCAATTAATTTTTTCGGGTGTAGTATATTTAGTAAGAATCTTTACAAAATCATTTCTACAATTTAAGAAGGTCTGTATCGTAATATGTGCCTGGAATTCAAAATTATAAATCCCACGAAATATTTCAATAACACAATTTACTAAAAAAAAAACTAAAACATTATAACTTGCAAACAAAAACTCATTCCTAAAAAATCCACTTTGAATATGCCAAAAAAATTAACACAAAATATACGGCATCCATCTGAAGACTAGCCAGCAATTTACACTTTCATTCTTTGAAGATCTTCATCCATATAGCGTTGATGAAATTATCCTCATTAGATATTGCAATCCGGTGCTTATTTTCAAAGAGGGGGGCTCGTTTCCAAACAGATTCCTGAATCCGCTTCAAAGCTATCTATTTACACGCTTCTTATGACTCATCATATCCACAACACTTGATCCGAATCTGCCACTGGAGCCTAATCCTGGCTTTTGGTGGAGCCTCTGCGGGCTTGCATGACCATGAAGTTGGACGCACAAAACAATTTTACCTTGGGTCCCTATTGTGACGTCACCACAGACGTTTGCACTGGGGCGTCGTGAATCATCCTTGGCTTTCGGATTCGGGAGTTGGCTAGTGGGAGGCTGCTGTGATTCGAACCCTGGTTGCACTACACGCATTGAATGCATTGGACCTCTCTGGGGCTCGTAGAGTAGTATCTTCGCATCTAGGCTGGCGTGAATGCCACGGGCGTCCCACGTGACAACCTGCACGATTTCGATAATCCCGCAGATGCGCTTTCTGAAATGGATGAATACTGTGCTCAAATGACGTATCCTGCTCTTTTGTCATTTAATGGATAAAACCTAATTTGATGAGTCGTTCATTGTATTTGTCTTTTGTCATTTGAGAAATGGATCATGGATCCCCTAAACCCCGTTTCTTGGGAACCGTGTATTAATGGAAGAAAAGATAACAGATTTTTCCCATAGTGGTGCTACTAACCTCGCGCCACGTAAGATTCGTTTTGAATCAATAGCTTGTCGCAAATGCTTCTAGTTGATATTTCTGTATAATTATGCAATATGCCAAAAACATTATTCAGTCACCTTGATATGAATTTTTGGTAGCTTTTTCGAGGTTGAAAACATGAAATGACTGACGGTACCTTGTTTTCTTCACATTCTTCTTCTTCCACCATGTGGATTGATTCTTACTCCGTCTGCCTCTATTAAAAAGTGAAAATGAGCTTTTAGTGTTTTTGGTCTTGGTTTTGAGGGAGGATCAACCACAGGGAGGGCTACTGAAACATGGCTAGTTTTTCCAACTTTTGCAGTGCAGTAAGATGCTAGAGCAGCATGTGCAACTCAGGCCAAGCCACATGCAGGAATGCTACAGTTCAGGCTGGAAAGGGGTTGCTTTGGTGAGAGATCACAATGGAACAATGGGCAGTCATTGTATTACAGGAGGGTAATACTATTTATATTTGGGGATTGTCTCAAAGGGGTTTGAATATGGTGTTGTAATGAGGTCTCAAACCAAACTAGTTAAAGTTAGAACATTGGCATTACAACATGTGAAGGTACCAATATTAATGTGAATGCAAACAAACATGTAATTATGGAAGCTTTTGGAGTGCATGAGCAAAGTGGATGGTATCACCTAATGCATGAAGCTTTGTCATAGTGCAATAAGAAGTTACACATATTTATCTTTTACTAAAAACATAATCTTATGGCATTGAAGTGGATTAATCATTAGCATATGATATTTTTTTATTTTTTTATTTCTATATATATATATATATATAAATATTTCCATTTTATTGTAAGAAAATTTCACCTATATAGTTTATAAATGCCATGTTGTCTAAAATGTGAAATCAAAAACTATATCATATTCAAATATATTTTGTTGGAAATGACTGCTTTGGTTCAATAGCTAAAATTGAAAGATTTTAATTTTTTTTTAATGATATTTACCATATTATACACTAATTGAAACATATATCTTTTAAGTCTATCTTTTATATTATTCTAATAACTTTTTTGAATATGTTTTGTAGGCAATAACATGCACTTAACAAGTTTTAGGAGCACTACATAATAATAAAAAGAATACACAAACTCAGGTTTTTGTTAGCTTGCAATTCAATAGATGGATATGTGTTAGAATTTCTAGTAACCAACTAACTTACAAGTACACATATAAATATACATTATAGCATAAAAAAATACTAGAATTTGGTGAATAATATTAATAATAATATAAGTTTTATTATATAGAACTAAGAAGAAGAAGAAGAAGAAGAAGAAGAATGATAACAGAAAAAATTAAAATAATATAATATATAAAAAAATATTTGAATAGACAAAGCATATAAATGTATGCAACAGAATAAACATACAATATAAAAGGCACAAAAATCTAAATAAAATTAGTATAAATTAGACACAAGAAAGTACAACAATTACCTTGAGAATTCACAAAACACTCTTAAAAAAATATTTATCAAGATAAATAACATAGAGCTTAAAATAAATGCAAGAAGTTTATGTCAAACTAAACATAACTTATTTTTAGCATATATCAGCCACTTATGGTGTTAGTTGGTTATGTAGCTCATATATTAGAAACTTATCATATAAAATTAAACAAATGTTCTTTAAGTTGGACAAACTTTTGTGGTCCTATACAATGTTGCTATATAGCTTTTGGTTAGATTGTATATATAAATAAGAAGATAAGGCCTTTTTATTTTTATTAATGCCTTTTTCTATTTTTAGTCTTATTTCAAGAATCTCCAATCTTCTTTTCTTTGGCAATAGCCATATAAATTGTAATATTATGATGTATATGAATAAATATCTATTCTTTTTTAATAATACAAGAATGTATTGGTTTTATTATTCTTTATGATTTATATCCTTAATATCTTCTTAATTATGATTATTATTATTATTATTATTATTATTATTATTATTATTATTATATATAATAAAATAATAAAAATCTTTAAGATAGACTCAATAAAAATTATAAGAAATAAAATTATATTCTATTTAAAGACAATTAAAAATTATTTAAATATAATACTTATTTTAAAGAGACTTTTTTAACTAATAAGTTGACAATATTGTCAACTTATTAGTTAAAATTTGAACCTACAAATCATATATAGATACATATAAAATCAAATTTATATTTTTGAAGCTTTTAAAAGCTTTTATATAAGATATTATTATTATTTATCTATCTTTATTTATTTTTTCCAAATTACTACTATCTAGGTAATTCCAATCGTTAATGATATCTATGACATTATCATGCCTTTTAGATATGACTTCCATAAGATTATGAATCACATGTTGAAAAAATCTAAGATAGTTAATAAGTCTTCTCATCCATTGATGGTGTTCCATATCCATGTGAAAATATCAACTTGTTATTTAATTAGTATTGAGGTATTTATAACTTCTTTCAAATAAAATATTTGAAATACTATCATAAGTGGTTTATACTTTTAATTATATCACCACACATTAGAAGTCTCTTCCTAGGTTGTGATATCAAAGTCATTGTATCTTGCTATTTGTTTAACGAATGATATGTCATTTTTGAAGGTCTTGATTTCTATTATATCGTCTTATAGGTTGTAATAATTTTAATGCTTTGTTTAATATTTCAATAAAAAATAATTCTTGAGTTACATCTATTGGTCTTTGATTCTCTTTTTTTTAGTAAAATAAAGATACAAAAACTAAAAACAATAATAGAATACTAAATGCAATCTTTATTGAATCTTGTTTGTTTTACAACAAATAATTGTTTGACTATCTATCTTATTTTTGATGGATATTGTTAATAAAAAGCATCAATCTTCTTTCTTATATTTGTAATATTTTTGAATGGCTTCCATACATATTTATTAATATCATATTTATTCCAATGTACAAGATATTCATATTTATTTTTTCAATATATTAAGTCTATAGCTTTTTTAATATCAAACTCTTGATTATTATCTACTTCGATATGATGAAG